TTCGCCGAATTTCAGGAAGAAATTCGATTCGATGCGAATTAATTCGCTACGGAGTTAACTTATAAAAAGGGTTTCTAGGCTTCAGAGAGCCTTTAAATTAGTGCAGAACACTGTACCTTTAATTTAAATGCCCTTGGAGATGAGGAAGGAAAAGAGAAGGAGAAGGATGAGAAGAAGGAGAAGGATGAGAAGAAGGAGAAGGATGAGAAGAAGGAGAAGGAGAAAGGAATGAGAAGAAGGAGAAGGGATGAGAAGATGGAGAAGGAGAAGGATGAGAAGAAGGAGAAGGAGAAGGATGAGAAGAAGGAGAAGGATGAGAAGAAGGAGAAGGATGAGAAGAAGGAGAAGGAGAAGGATGAGAAGAAGGAGAAGGATGAGAAGAAGGAAAGGATGAGAAGAAGGAGAAGGAGAAGGATGAAGAAGAAGGAGAAGGATGAGAAGAAGGAGAAGGATGAGAAGAAGGATGAGAAGAAGGATGAGAAGAAGGAGAAGGATGAGAAGAAGGATGAGAAGAAGGAGAAGGATGAGAAGAAGGAGAAGGAGAAGGATGAGAAGAAGGAGAAGGATGAGAAGAAGGATGAGAAGAAGGAGAAGGATGAGAAGAAGAGAAGGAGAAGGATGAGAAAAGGAGAATGGATGAGAAGAAGTAAGGAGAAGGATGAGAAGAAGGAGAAGGATGAGAAGAAAGGAGAAGGATGAGAAGAAGGAGAAGGGATGAGAAGAAGGAGAAGGATGAGAGAAGAAGGAGAAGGAGAAGGAGAAGGATGAGAAGAAGGATGAGAAGAAGGAGAAGGATGAGAAGAAAGAAGGATGAGAAGAAGGAGAAGGATGAGAAGAAGGAGAAGGAGAAGGATGAGAAGAAGGAGAAGGATGAGAAGAAGGAGAAGGATGAGAAGAAGGATGAGAAGAAGGATGAGAAGAAGGAGAAGGATGAGAAGAAGGACAGTTCTGTGACAGAAGGACAGTTTCTGTGAACATGGAGAAACATCGGTTGAAACCGCTGTATGAGTGAATGTCACAGAACTGTCAGAGAATAGGCTATTTTCTGACAGTTTCTGAGACATTCACTCCATTACAGAGAAACAAGGTATCTAATTTGTTTCCAAGAAATGGATCCATTTATGGAAAAAATAGATACAATGTTTCAACCGCTGTAATGGAGTTGAATGTCACAGAACTGTCAGAAATAAGGCTATTTCTGACAGTTCTGTGACATTCACTCCATACAGCGGTTTCAACCGTTCTGTATGGAGTGAAATGAATGTCCCAGAACTGTCAGAAATAAGGCTATTTTCTGACAGTTCTGTGACAATTCACTCCATACAAAAGAGCGGTTTCAACCGCTGTATGGAGTGAATGTCACAGAACTGTCAGAAATAGCCTATTTCCTGACAGTTCTGGGACATTCACTCCATACAGCGGTTGAAAACATTTATCTATTTGTTTCCACCATTTATGGAAACAAATAGATACAATGTTTCAACCGCTGTATGGAGTGAGTGTCACAGAACTGTCAGAAATAGCCTATTTCTGACAGTTCTGGGACATTCACCTCCATACAGCGGTTTCAACCGCTGTATGGAGTGAATGTCCCAGAACTGTCAGAAATAGGCTATTTCTGACAGTTCTGGGACATTCACTCCATACAGCGGTTGAAACATTGTATCTATTTGTTTCCATAAATGGATCCATTTATGGAAGAACTGTCAGAAATAGCTGAGCTCTGCAGATACACTTAGAGGAGCTCTGCAGATACACTTTTTGCCGGCTTGGAATTATTCTTATTTTCATCCTACTTCTTCTTCTTCTTCATCCTCATCCTCTTCTTCTTCTGAGGATGAGGATGAGGATGAAGAAGAAGAAGAAGAAGAAGAAGTAGGATGAAAATAAGATTAATTCCAAGCCGGCAAAAAGTGTATCTGCAGAGCTCCTCTAAGTGTATCTGCAGAGCTCCTCTAAGTGTATCTGCAGAATAGAGGAAGCTCTGCAGATACAGTTTTTGCCGGCTTGGAATTATTCTTATTTTCATCCTACTTCTTCTTCTTCATCCTCATCCTCTTCTTCTTCTTCTGAGGATGAGGATGAGGATGAAGAAGAAGAAGAAGAAGAAGAAGTAGGATGAAAATAAGATTAATTCCAAGCCGGCAAAAAGTGTATTGCAGAGCTCCTCTAAGTGTATCTGCAGAGCTCCTCTAAGTGTATCTGCAGAATAGAGGAGCTCTGCAGATACACTTTTTGCCGGCTTGGAATTATTCTTATTTTCATCCTACTTCTTCTTCTTCTTCTTCTTCTTCTTCATCCTCATCCTCATCCTCTTCTTCTTCTTCTTCTGAGGATGAGGATGAGGATGAAGAAGAAGAAGAAGAAGTAGGATGAAAATAAGAATTCCAAACCGGCAAAAAGTGTATGTGCAGAGTTCCTCTATTTCTGACAGTTCTCTGACAGCTTCTTCACATGTACAGCGGTTGAAACATCTGTATCCTAAATGGAAACTAATAGATACAATGTTTCAACCGCTGTACATGTGTTCCTTCTGTCAGAGAACTGTCAGAAATAGCGGAGCTCTCTGCAGGGACACTTTTGCCGGCTGATCGGGAAAAATCCGATTCGCGCACCCGAAGTAGGCAAATATTCGGATTCGACGCAAATCTAATTTTTCCTGAAATTCGTATCGAATTCCGGTTCGCCTGGTTTGATTCGCTCATCTCTAATCTCAATGTTGGTGGTCAGTGGGAGAAAAGTACCCCAAAATAAATTGTCAATGGGAGAAAAATACTTTGTGGTAATGGTCAATGGAAGAAGAAAATGTCCTGGAATCAGTGAGTAGAGGGGAAAAAGAGTCCCAAAGCTGGTGATCATTGAGAGGGGGAAAAAACATGCTGTTGGTGCTTAAAACTAACAAATTCATTGCTATCAGTGGTCAATGAGATTGACTGAGCTCAGTGAAATACGAATCCTCCTCAGCATTGATGTACAATGAGATTCAAATACTCCATCTAGAATTATTGGCTGGTGGGGTACAAAGAATTTCTCACAACAATGGAGGTCAGTGGGATTCACTTATCTCCACAAGAGCTTCATGTCCCATGCCACATCTTCACTCTGCCTCCTCTTGGTGAGGTCATTGTCAGAACTTTCAGCCCAACAGTACAGGTATAGATCTATTGCTAGATGGTTGAATGCATATTTCACCTGGGATTTTGTTCAAATCTTAAAAGTTAGGGGGGGTCTGAGATTAAATTGTAAATAATTTACAGATCCGCTCCCTATTGATATTTATAAATATTTTAAACATGTATCTTGTATTCAGATATATGGTTTGGAGTTTCTTATTGATTATCATTTTTATCACTGTCCCATTATGAAAATGCCCCACCATATAATGTTATACACACACACACACCTTTATTTGGATGGAAGCCAAGTAACCTGCTATCTTTCTTAGTATGTAGCATAAGTGACATCAGTCTGCACAGATTTTGAGATAGTTCTCACCTTATCAATATTTAAATATCTAATTACGTATATAGCAAAGAAAGGCAGCTTGGGCGAAAAAATTCCTGACTGCTTTGCACAGATTTTTAGACAGTTCTCACTTTTGCGATATTTAATAGCTATTAACACAAAAAAAAGCAGCTTGGATAAACAAGTCAATAGTTGCTTTGGACTTCAGAATTATGCAAACATTTCAGATTGCAATAGCATGTAATTTTGTATACATACTCTTCTCCTATATAAACCAATTCTACACATCATGAACTTTTGCCATAGCCTGGTTTAGATCAGCCAAGACTAGTTATTTTCAGTCTTTGCACATGTACAGCATTATCCCTACAAATTTTAGGTCATTTTAGGTTCCTATCTGTATTGGATTGGCAGATATATGCTATTATTATAGTGCTATTTGTTTTTATGTTATACCTTTAGTTCTGTTTACATTTGCTGCCACCTAGTGATGGGTGATGTGCTCTATCCTGAGGTTGAGTGTTCAGTGTTTAGCAGCTCAGTAACACAAATCAGTTTTATTTTTAACCTTTATCACATCTCATCATTGCTTGCAGTTAGATCCTGTTTGCTTTGTATATTGTGCAAATATTTAGATAATTTTTTTCAGATTTTAATATATTAATGAATGTTAATAAAAGTAAACTTTAGCTATGTACACATTCTTTATATGGTAAATAATCCTGATCTGCAACTCTATACCTATGTTTGATAAATCTGTATGGTGACATTATATTATAGAATGGTTACATTAATAAAAGCTTTGGTATGTAGGTGAATGTGTGCAGCAACAGCAGCTGTTAACTACATTGTCTCCTTTATATCCTTTAAGATCCCATGCCTGCACTTAAAGTGTGTATTTGGTCAAATGTTTTGGTTTTTCTTTTGTAGTTTTGAAAAGAGTGGTTTAACAGACCAACTGAGGCAAATAAAAGAAGTTTATTGTAGCGTTGATTTACATTTTAAAGCCAAACTCTAAGCAGTTATAAAGACATTAAGACAGTTCTATATTCATTAAAGGATAAGCTCACCTTTCAAAAAAAAAAAAATAATAATAATAAATGCACATTTTTTTTAACCACTTGCCTACCGGGCACTTTTATCCCCTTCCTGCCCAGGTCAATTTTCAGCTTTCAGCACTCTCAAACTTTGAATGACAATTGCACGGCCATGCAACATTTTACCCATATAAAATGTTTAGAATTTTTTTCACTCAAATAGAACTTTCTTTTGGTGGTATTTAATTGCCACTAGATGTTTTATTTTTTGCACTATAAACAAAAAAAGAGCAAAAAATTAAAAGAAAACGTTTTTCTTTGTTTCTATTATAACATTTTGCAATCCAGTAATTTTTCTCCTTCACTGATGTGCGTTAATGAAACTGCACTGATACGCAGCACTGATGGGCACTGATAGGCAGCACTGATTGGCACTGATGAGGTGGCATGGATAGACGGCACTGATAGGCTGCACTGATGAGGTGGCACTGACGAGGCGGCACTAGTGGACATTGAAGAGGAGGCACTGATATTGCTGTACTGATATGCATCAATGATGGGCACTGATAGGCAGCACTGATGGGCGACACTGATGGGCACCGCTGACTGGCGGCACTGACAGCACTGACTGGCGACTCTGCTGGTTGGCACTGCTGGGCGGCACTGATGAGTGGCACTGATGGGCACTGATGGGTGGCACTGCTGGGCACTGGTGCAAGGCACTGCTGGGCACTGATCATCAGGGCTGCTGATCTGCTCTGTGACAGTTGCCAGTTATCAGCAGAACTAAGAGTCTGCAGGAGCCTGAGATTGCACCTGCAATCTGCTGATCGTGGGTGTAATGCTCTGCAACAGGGGCGGACTGACAACTCATGGGGCCCCCGGGCAATAGGGGATCATGGGGCCCCTGTGTCCTTGCCCAACCTCAAAAAAGCCTATGAAAAAGGTACCAGGGGCATCTCATGGGGCCCCCTACTGACCCTGGGCCCTCGGGCAGTGCCCGAGTTTCCAAATGGTCAGTCCGCCCCTGCTCTGCAAGCTCCTTAACCACTTGCCAAGTTCTGGGAGGACATCATATGATGTCCTCCAAGAACGCGCCCTCCCGCGTGCCCCCATTGGTGCGCACCTGGCAATCTCCAGGATTGCTGTATCCTACGGAGGTAAATCACAGTGGCCTTTTACCACGTGATCAGCATTGTCCAATGACACAGCAGATCACCGAGTAAATACAGTTGCCAGTTATCAGCTGCAGTTTCCTCACGGTGGGATTGGGGGGAGAAGCTGCAAATGCTGGAACATGTTACATGTTACATGTTCCACCCTAAAAATAGGTGGAACATATAACATATTCCAAATGTGAACTTATTCTTTATTATATTGGTATATGCATTTTTTTTAATGCAAGCAATGTATGCACCTGAATTTGACATGGTATTAGCTTCTTGCAGTCCTTATACTGGGCTATTGGATACTGGATACTTTTGCATAGTAACATTGGTCAAGCTTGGATCTACCAAACTTGGCAGATCCCTGTTGAAGCCGAAAATCACTTTAGTAGGCACTACTGCAGTGATGGCTGCTAGTTTCTGGGTTCTATGCAGAGCAGCTGCCCTGCTGTTAAACACAGGAGGCTGCTTGCTTGGAACAGGCGCCATTCACAGAACTTATTGCTTGTGTCCAATGCCCCAGCAGCATAAGGGGAGCAGTTGGGAACCGTAAAATTGTGCCTTAACAGCCTGAAACAAGCCATAAAAAATCTTGTTTGTATCTGAAAATAAAATGAAGGGTGATGTTTCACACTTTAGCATCCTCACTATAGTAGGACTTTTCCTTGTTTGCAAATATGTGCAACAAAGACCCATAGGGCATATTCATACTGGTAGCTGGAGGCAGCTAGTCTGCCGCTCTCAGATATGAATAAACTTTGCATTTGGACGCAGCAGCACTCTGTGCTAACGTTGTAAACCAGCTGGACAATTAGCTGCATCCAGTTTGTGTGCGTCCACAAGCACCGACCCTGAAAGCAAAGTTCCTGCGTCCAGGCCCAGTTAGAAGCCCTATTCACATGTAAGCACTGGTATGATCTGTTACATGAGACCAAAAGTGGTGCTGTGCAAAGTACAAGTCTGACCATATGGCTGCTGGCTGGGGCTGTTTGCACACAACAATCTGGCAAGTTGGATTAACTGCTAGGGGAATGTGGTTGCTTCACATTTCTCTTTTCAAAGTAAAAGACATGCTAAAGCAAGACAGTTGCAAATAGTGCCTTATGAGCACTCTGCATTGACCCAAATACCAAGCCTGGCCATTCACTCTGTTGACAGCAATGGAATTGCCACCCACTGAAGGCTGAAACAACAGGGGAGCTCCCCGACATCTGCTGCCCTTGTAAATGTAGCCAACAATCCAGGGGTCACACACATAGAAAACTATTGAAAATCCTTGGCTAAAAAGTCACAACCTTATCTCTATCCAAACGGTGCATAATTCTGTCAGTAACTTGTCTGATAAATCCCTCTTTGTGGCTGATAAATTGTTGCAATTTTTACTTACAGGTGCTACACCACAATGTCTTTTCCCCCAACAATAATTTCAGTTAAATGCCTTTCAGTAGCTTTGAAATGGCAGCAATTTATGCTTAAAAGTCCTCCAGAAGCACAATGTCCACTGTCTGGCTGCAAGAGAATTATGCTTTATAGTTCTTCATTCTGAATTAGACACTAATCAGTCTGTACGTGTAGTGAAGAGCCTATGCACGAACATGATGACAATTTTCTAGCAGTCAGGTAGTAAAATGAGCGATGGGGAGACAATACAGTGGATGTATAATCTAGCAGATAATCGCTCTGTGAGCTTTTGCAGAAGGAAGAGAGTAAACAGAAAATGTCCTACTATAATGACTCCAAGATGCATTATTGTGTAGTTTAGTCTTCAACAAATAAAACTTGTTAGACAGCTGCTGGTGCATTGTGCCATAGGGAAGTTAGAAACACTGGGGGGTTGTATACTCCAAAAGAATTCTCTAGAATTACAGCTAACACGTCCTAAAAAAACAACTTTCCATTCACCCTGCTGACCCATTTCCATTATTCACTCTTTAGGGATGTTTTACTAAAGAAGTATATTTTTCACTTAGCTAAGTGAACTTATGTTCAACTTGAATAATCATGTGCAAAGGAATGTGAAAGGAAATGATTGGATGATTGACATGAATACAACTACACTGCGCTAAGTTAAAAATGATCTCCTTATATATTGTTCCAACAGCTGTAGTAGCCTAATATCAGAGATAGAAAAGGTATGTGCTCTTATATATTATTACAAGTACTTATATAGCACCAACAATTTACATGTATATATATATATATATATACATACAGTTCACATCAGTCCCTAACTCTCCGGGAGCTTACAATCTAAGGTCCCTAAATCACATTCATAGATACACATTCTAGGGCCAATTAACCTACCAGCATGTCTTTGGAGTGTGAGGGTACCCCAACACAGACACAGGGAGAACATGCAAACTTCAGACAGGAGGTGCTGTGGTTGGGCTTGAACCAACACTCTAGTGCTGCCAGGTGGAAGTACTAACCATTTGCTTAGTGTGCTCCCAAACTATAGACCAAGCACCACAGGTAGTATTCATCTTCCTGTAGCTCATGGCTGGCTCTAGGGGGGTGCTGGGGTGGGCTGCATCCCCCAAGTTTTGAGTTGCACCCCCCCAAGCATTCATCTCCCCCACTCCCACCTTCAGGGCTGCTGACAAGGGGTAGTCAGAACATGGTTCCCATAAAGTCTGCGGGTTAGGGGGGTGGCAAGGAGGTAGGGAGACTGTACATTGAGTTGCCACTATCTCCTGTATTATAATGCATGTCCTCCTGGCCACTTGCATAGTAAGCTAGCCAGCTGGGACTCAGGAGATCCCGATTGACTTCAAGAGGGAGGGTCTTGAGAGAGGAATTCAGCTACCCATTGGTTGAAGAGGCAGAAGGTAGCGGGCAGCACTGCCTCCCTCTGCCTCTCGAGCCAATGGGTACACAGGGTGCACTGTCCATCACTACAGTCAAGTCTTCATCCCGCGGGCTTCTTGGTGTGGGATGGATCAGATTTACCATGAAAAATCTTGCAGTGATTAAGGCGAGGGAGGAGTGGACTTGGGGACCCTGATGTAAGGGGGGAACTGTGGGGACCCTGATGTAAGGAGGGGGACTGTGGGGACCCTGATGTAAGGAGGAGGGCTAAGGGGACCCTGATGTAAGGAGGGGGGCTAAGGAGACCCTGATGTAAGAAGGGGGACTGTGTGGACCCTGATGTAAGGAGGGGGGCTAAGGGGGCCCTGATGTAAGGAGTGGGCAAAGGGGACCCTGATGTAAAGAGGGGGGCTAAGGGGGCCCTGATGTAAGAAGGGGGATTAAGGGGACCCTGATGTAAGGAGGGGGCTAAGGGGACCCTGACGTAAGAAGGGGGACTATGGAGACCCTGATGTAGGAAGGGGGACTATGGGGACCCAGATCTCAAGAGGGGGACTATGGGGACCCTGATGTAAGAAGGGGGACTATGGGGATCCTGATGTAAGAAGGGGGACTATGGGGACCCTGATGTAAGGAGGGGGGATAAGGGGACCTTGATGTAAGGAGGGGGACTATGGGGACCCTGATGTAAAGAGGGAGGATAAGGGGATCCTGTTGTAAGGAGGGGGGATAGGGGAACCCTGATGTAATGAGGGGGCTAAGGGGACCCTGATGTAAGAAGGGGGACTGTAGAGACCCTGATGTAAGAGGGGGACTGTGGGGACCCTAATGTAAGGTGGGTAAGAGCAGCCTGATGTAAGGAGGGGGGATACGGGGACCCTGATGTACGGAGGGAGACTATGGGGACTGTGATGTAAGGAGGGGGATAAGGAGACCATGATGTGAGAAGGGGGACAATGGGGACCCTGATGTAAGAAGGGGGGATAGGGGAACCTGATGTAAGGAGGGGAACTAAGGGGACCCTGATGTAAGTAGGGGGACTATGTTGACCCTGATATAAGGAGAGGGACTATAGGGACCCTGATATAAGGAGGGGGACTAAGTGGACCCTGATTGATGTAAGAAGGGGGACTAAGGGGACCGTGATGTAAGGAGGGAGACTATGGGGATTACTGAAAAGATTGTGTGAGCAGCATGTCCACCAAAATGGTTACATAACCGTACATGGGTCCTGACGAAGTTAATGACGATACGCCCATCGGCGAAACACGTTGACATCATGGCCTCGATCCATCAGGGTTACGCACACTAACAAAGGGAGGTGTCACGGATGTGAGTTCAGCCAAGCTACATCTACGAGGACTACCTATGAGCTTTCAGTGGCAATTTTGGAAATGGCATTTCATTGAAGACGGAACGTTACTTGCAGTAAAGGTGAGCCTATTCACACTTGGCATTGACAAAATGGTGAGTGACTATACCCTACAATATGTGCTTATGTGCGACACAGCACTTTATTGAGGACGGAACATCATCATAAAGGGTGAGCTCATCTCCACTTTGGTCACATACTGATGGTTAAGTGATTGCTCCCCATGCTCCCCATTAGTGCATACTACTGGACGATCAAGGTCCACCTTTCTATATAAGGAACTTATGTTCAATGCTTATACTCACCTGAATATACTGCATATGTCTACTATTGCTGTTATCTCTATACAGTGAATTGCTACATTCTTTCTCAATAATGCCTGTTAGGTATTTGCCCTGAATTCCACTGATCTGTGTAGTATATCCAGTGATTATACTGTGGGACTGAATACATCATCATCAACATCTTTAGTGACACTTCTTGGACTTTATTCCATTTGTCCCTATTCAGGAATCATTGGATTACCATATGTATTAAATCCAGATCACTGCATCCCGGTGGTGCGCCCTGATAATGATATCTGTAGTTTGACAGATGACTGGAGGATGTCGCTGTCGTGTTGATATGTTTACTACAGTTAGGGCGACACCATGACATCATATTTTTTATTTTTCATTTTTATGTTGGGGGACCCTGATGTAAGGAGGGGGCTAAGGGGACCTTGATGTAAGGAGGGGACTAAGGGGACTCTGATGTAAGGAGAAGGACTATGGGGACACTGATT